GTATAGTCTTCCTTAGAGCCTTTAAGATACAGAATGCACAGTGATGCCTGAAAGCAGCTATGGGGCCTGGGAATCCCCACACCACGTGACAGCTGCATTTGGGGCCAGAGTTCAAGCTACATTAGGTTAGGGATTTTGTTTTTCCACTAACTCATCCCCAGAGCCTAGAAGGGTGCCTGAACCAAGGCAGATGCTCCATAAATATTTGTGGAAGGAATGAGAGGGGCTTCAAGGTCAATGAAGGAAACTGGAGCACTGGACCTGACGGTCCAGCTCCACACAGATCAGACATGAGATGGGACACAGCAGAGGTGGGACAATGTCAACCCACCTAGGACTCCACTCAGCACTCCATAGGGACCCCCAAGTCCCACCCCTCAAATTCCAGTGCACACTGATGCCCCCATCCGACTCTTCCCCAAGTTCTAGGCAGTAGGCCGAGGCCTGGGAATGTGCATTTCTAACACATTCCAAGATGCACTCCCTGCTCCACTGGCTTCTCCCTTTCTCCTGACTGGGGTTGTCACAAGGAAGAAGAGGGGTGAAAGGGCCCTCTTCAGCCATGCCCAAGACACAGCTTATTCCTGCTGGCCTCACCCAAGTTTGAGGAGGCCCCCCAAGTTGAGGAGGCCCCCCAAGCCTAAACACACCAGGTCTTGCTTGTGCCACTGCTTTCCTGTCTCCCGGCCGCATGATTCTCTGCTCTAAACCCCTCCTGATCACCTCCAATGTCCCCGACAAAGCCTCCGGGGGCCACCCCAGCCCACACTCATGCCTCCCCTCCTCGCGTGCTTCCTGCTTTTATAATTAAGACCACACTGTCTAGTGCTTAATTGTTCCAAAATTGTTTTGCATGTCTGTCTTATCTCCACAATTACATTTTAAATTCTTTAAAGATGGCGATCTCACTGAATACATTTCTATGCCCAGGCCCCCCAGGATGGACAGCGGTTGGGCCCAGTGCAGGGGATCAGGGAGCCCCTACCTTGCAGCCCCCAGAGGACCCCGCTCCTTCTTTCCCCCAGAAGCCCCCGTTGGCACCCTCGCGGGGTCATCTCTGAAAGCTCTGCTCTCTGGAATGCAGAATCAACCCAGAGATAGGATTCCGGCAGCTGGGCCTCATCCCCTCCACCCCAAAGACTGGACATGCCCCCACCAACACTGCCCCAGGCAGCTGTGGTTCGAGACTGCTGGCTGCTTTACTCCCTCACCTCCTCACCTCTGTCTGCCCTGAGAGAGGAGAAATGCCACTGAGCGGCTGTCACCAGTGGAAAGCGGGACATGGGGGAGGGGTATGCAGACAAGAGGGGTGGGGGTGGGGCAGAGCTCCAGCGGAGTGAACTTGAGGTGGAGCCACAGCCCCCCTGGGGGCTCCCTGGGGTGAGTCAGAGGAGGAAGAAGAGGGGTGGGGTGGTAGGAGTTGGGGGCGGGCATGGGGCTTGGAATCGGGAGGAATGTGTTCAAGAGATGCCGCCAGGGCCAAAGGGAATCTTCCCAACAACAGCAGCAAAACTATTTCAGTCCGGCCCAAGAGAAACACTCTAGAAGGGAGGCAGCCAGAGGGGAGAGGGAGGCGCAGAGCAGACAGAAGGCCACCTGGGACTGACCCGCATGGCCACCAGGCTCAGGGGAGCAGCACCCTCTACCCTCCAGCCACTCCAGCCTGAAACACAGACTCTCTCCCGCCCCCAGGTATCCTCACCTGTCGGCTCCCAGGGCGGCCCTCATAGGAGAAGTGGTCAGCAGCAGGTCCTGGGGAGTGGGCCGGAGTCTGGAAACTGAAAGAGAGGGGTGGAGAGTGTGGGTGTCTGGACCCCACCCAGACTGCCCAGGGAAGCAGAGTGCTCCTAGGAGCCCCTAAACCCAGCTACTGAGAACCCAGCCCGCAGCTGGTGGCCAGCGTAGCCCCCCCAAGCTCACCTGCGGCTGATCAGTGCCTCTCCAGGGAGGGTCTGGGGGCTGGCTGGGGGCAGGGTGGAGAGAGGGCTGCCAGGGCAGGGGCTGAGGGAAGCTGGGCTAGAGCAGGCAGACCTCAGGGAGGACTGGCTGTTGGTATGCGTCCTCATGGAGCCCTGTGGAGAGAGGAGCCCAGAGGAGCAGGGTGCCCGGACGCCCTCCTGTCCCCCAACCTCCCCTCGTCTCAGGGTGCTGAAGCACCAGCCTACCTGGAAGCGAGTTGCCAACACTTCCACAGCGCTCTCTCCATTGGTCTGCCCCGGAGAAGCCCTAGACCCCAAGAGAAGAGAGGTGACAGGAAAGCCAGCGTCACAGGGGTCCTGGAACTCTCCCCCCAAAGCCACAACACCCCCCCCAAAGCCACTAAGTAGGGGTTGCAGATTTCAGCTGTTCCCACACAAGGTTCTCAAGACTAGTGAAATCGCCAAAACAGTCCAGCAGTCGTCGTCTACCCTGAGCTTTGCCAAACTTAAACAACTATCATCAACGATCACATCATTTCTTAAAGGACAAGTTAGCAAGGAAGAGTAGAAAGGACACTTTGAGTAAAAAGTTCAATAAAGTCAAGTTTATTCAAAGGCTCCTCACATTACTGTCCCTCTTTCTCTTTTCTCTTCTTTAGTATTTCATCTATCTAGGATCTAGACTTCATCACAGGGTTGGCCTTAGTTTGTAAATTGATTTCAGGGGGGACTGCTGACTTCCTATAAATAACCCTTTATCTTTCCCCATGGGAAAACCAAAGCCCAGAGAGCAGAGGTAGAGTTGCCCAAGGTCCTAGACAATGGCCAGGCCAGCTGCCCACTCGCCACCAACCCCAGGCCTGCCCGCAGTGCTATGCCACTGAGGCCTTTGAGAGGGTCCCTTCTGTCCCTTCTACAGGTTCTCCCAGAAACTCAGGATGGAACCAGCCCCTCCTGCCAGGCAAGCAGCGGCAGAACCTAGGGAACAAAAAGGCTCAGCACCCCAACTAATCCCCAAGCCGTGGGGAGGGGCTCTCCCACCCCAGCTCCCCAAGGACCCCTCCAGAGTTCTGCCCAATGGAGCCCAGCTGGAACCTTGGCTAGGAGCTCGGGCAGAGGCTGCTCGATTTCAGCTCTAGAACACCATTCCAGGATGTCTGGCCACTTCTAGAGAAGTCAGCAAGAGCCTCTGTCACCACACACCACGCCAGCCTCAGCACACACACCACCCCCCTTAAAGAGGGGTGTGAGGTCAGGGTGAGGGGAGCTGAGCTTTGGCACCAACCCAGAGCACTGCTTCCTGCCACAGGGCTCTAAGTGGCTGAGAGGTCCCCTGGGGGTGGAGGCTGGGTGTGTGTGTGTGTGTGTGTGTGTGTGTGTGTGTGAAGAGGTCTGGACAAAAGAAAAAAGAGAATAGGAGCCTTGACCAGCCCAGTGGAGCTGGAAGCCTGGAGGTTCCCACCAGGCCCCTCCTAGCCAAGGCTGGGCTCCTCCTAGAGAGAGCTGGCAGGGTGCAATGGTCCCTCAACTTCCCGTTACACCAGTCTCAGAGATTTCACTCCTGCTGCTGGATACCAGGCCATGTCTCCACCCTGCTCTGATCCCACGCCTGCAAACACTCCTGGGCCAGAGTGGCACAAAGCCATCACAGGAGCCAGCTTCTGCAGTGCAGTGGAGCAGTGGAGGCATGGAGCCAGGGCCCAAGGGATCCTGGAAGTGGGCAAAGTGGCAAAGGGGCAGGAGGTACCTGACTCAGGTTCAAGGCCTGCCCAGAGGGCTCTCCTGGCAGGGGTATCTCCCAGGATTCCTGCCCTGTGACTCACTGTGGGCCCCACCCCAGGGAACCACCTGTTCCCCCACAACCTGGTGTCCAACCCCATGAGCCCTCACCATCAGGGCCCAGAGGGCAAAGGTAAAACACGAGGGGGGGTCTGTAGAGAGACGGCCCCAAACTCTCCACCTCCCCCAGGGATCCAAACAAAGCTTCCCCCTCTTGGAGCAGGGGACCTGGAGACCCAGCCAGGGGCACACCTTTCCCCTCTTCAACCCACTTCATGCCCACACCCTGTACCCCACACACTTGGGAACCAGTCAAACCCGGGCATCCAGGTGGCTGATGCCAGCCAGCCCTGCCCAGCCATCCAGGTGGCTGCACGCCCAGCAGGGCACAGGGACACCCCCAGCCCACCCTGCTGCAGGCTGAGAGCCAGGGACCACCACACAGGTGAGCTGCAGGTCTTAGTAAGGCCAGGTGGGGGCAGACGCAGACGAGGGCAGCTGATGCAGAGGGCTGGCCAGAAGCAGAGGGCCTACCGGTCCAGCAGGAGCCGCAGCGGGGATGGACTCTGTCGGATCTTGCTCTGGGCCTCCGCGTGGAGCATGCCTTCCGCGCGCTCCCCATTGATGGCCACGATAATGTCCCCAGGTCGGAGGTCAGCGGCCGCTGCCTTGCTCCGCTCAGTGACCTGAAGGGGATGAGGAGCAGGTAGTCTGAGGTGCCCCGCTGAGACAGCAGCCACACTGGGACACTGGACACTCGGGTAGGGTGGAGGGCAGGGAATGTCCCCTGATGGGCCCAAGAAACACGAAACCAGTTTGAGCCAGGCTGGCCTGTCCTGCTCATCAGGGGCTGTCCAGCTAATCAGCTAAAGCCTTCGGAAAGTCCCCAGCCCCGGGAAGGGCATTCAAACGGGGCCTCCCAGACCACTCCAAATGCAGGACTGCAGGAGCTGTGTTGGAAATACTCCTGGGTAGCGAGCCTGCCTGAGCACCTCGTGCGCACACAGGCTGGCTGCTCGCAGGCCTCCAAGCCCGCGTCCCCTGGGTCAAGGGGAAGCTGCCAAGAACTCAGGCTCCAGTTCTAGCACCACCCAAAATGGCTGCCAGCAGGTAGGGGTGGTGATCAGGGAGAAAAGAGCAGGCCCAGGGAGAAAAGAGGGGCCAGCCCCTCTCACGCACTGGACACCTGTTCCTGAAGTGGCACCACATCCTCTGGCTACAGAGCCCTCGGCCCTCCCGGGGGCAGCTCCCAGAAGGCCTCCCTGGGGACCTGGGCAGAGAACAGACCCTAACTTGGGGTTCACCTCCTTATCTCCTGGAGCTACCCTTACCTTGGTCACCTTGATGGGTGTATGGAAATCCCTGCCCCCGGTGATGCGGAAGCCCCAGGGCGCGGGGCCCACCACATCCACTGTCAGTGCCATATCTGAGGAAGAAAGGAGGGAGAGGTGGAGCCTGCTCCCAGGCCCGGAGGGATGCCTGAGGGTACAGGGAAGAAGCAAAGGGGAGAAGAGCGGCTGGCTGTCCCGCGTGGGTAGAGTGGGTAGAGGAAGTGACTAAATCCCTCCTTCACACACCCCCAGTTTCACTTCCCCCCACCCTGGGAAGCCCTGAGGCTGAGTTCCCCCTTCCTGGCTGTCTTCAGCAATCAGGGTGTAGGACAGGGACTTGCTGGAGAATGCGGGCAGGGCTGGCAGGTGGTAGGAGATGTCAGCACTTCCGCCTTCTCCCCCTCCTCCACCATCAGGGCTAAGTCCCACCAGTGCTTGCTTCCTGTCCCCAAAACCCACAGCAGAAGGTACTTCCTCCCTCCTCTGGGGGAGGGGAGGGCTCTAGAAACAGGAGTGACAGCAAGGAAGGAGTGTTGCCACCAAGGGCTGTTCGAGTAGTTGGCTGGGCTGGGGCAGGCCAGGGGCTTCAGAGAGGCCTCTCGGTGGCCTGTCCAGCCCCTGCGGTGCGGCCACATAGGTGAGGATGGGCTTCTCACTTCCCCCGGGGTCTGCTGCCCGCCCGACTTTCCCAGCGAGGACTCATCCACCAAGCTGGGCACACCCACCCTCTGGCCAGCAGGGCGAGGCAACTGGCGAGGCAACTAATGCCGCCTGCTCACTGGGGCCACAGGCCTCCATCCACAGCCCCTCTGCTGGGCAAGGGAGTGTCCCTGCAGATCTGGCCCTTGTAGGATTTCCTGAGCCTCTGGTTCTGGAGTCAGGAGCCAACCCAGACAGGAAGCTGCAGTGCCAGGCTGGGCCACCACCCTGCCCAGCACCCACCCTGGGGCGCCCCGGGGAGTCCAGAACACAAGAGCTGTCCAAAGCACTCATGGACTCTGGGGCCACTTCCCGCATTTGGGAGTCTGGGGCAGAGGTGCCAGACCAGAGAGCCGGCTGGTGTCTCCCTACACTCCAGCTTACCCTTTAACCCAGGCCCAGCCTCCGTCCCTCCCCGGGCCCCCAGCTCTGCTGCTGGCTACTCCCAGGAGCCTTGGGAGTCTCAGACCTTTGAGCTGCCCAGTGGACTCCACGCCGCCGACGCCGGGAGGTGCGCAGCCCGTCGGCTCGGCTCGCCCAGTGCTTGGGATTCTGAGCTCCGTGGCCGAAGTACCCGCGGCAGGGCGCTGAGGGAGCAGCGCGGGGTCCGAGCCCGCGGGGGCGCCCACCGCTCAGCGGGGTGCAGAGAGGGGCTGCGGGGAGTGGGGCGGAAGGTCCGCCGCGCCAGAGGGCGACGAGGGGCGCAGACCTGCAGGGAGCCCGGGGCCGCGCGGCTGCTGCCAGCGGGCGCGCTCACCTGGCTCGCGCTCACCTGTCTGCCCGGCCGCCGGCCGGAGGGGCGGGGAGGGAAGGAGGGAGGGAGGGCGAAGAGAGGGCGAAGAGAGGAGGCCGCCGCCGCCGCCGCCGCCGCCGCCAGCCCGGCTCTGGGGAGAGCCCGCCCGGGGCTCCGGGACCTGCCTCCGCCCATGTGATCCCGGGGCCGCCCCTGCCGCCGCCCCTGGTCGGGAAGCCGCCTCCTCCGCGCAGCCCAGCCCGCACCGCCACCTGGCCCGCGCCTCAGCGCACGGGAGCGGGGAGGGGGTGGCGCCCCCGAGCGCCCGGGAGCTACGGTGGCCCCCTGGGGTGTCCTCGTCCTCCCCACAGTACCCTCACCCCGCCCCCTCCCCTCCCCCCCCCGAGTGCCCAGCGGGCGTCCTGAGGACCGTAGGCACCGCCTCGCAGGCACCCGCGGCTGCGGCTCTTTAAAAATCTGCCAGGCCAGCTGCTGCACACCCCGAACACCCCCAACACCACCCCCGGACTGGATGGGTGGGGGAGGGACCCGCTTGGGCCGTGCAGTCTCCCTGACTCCTCTCCAGGTTCCACGCTGGAGCCCACACATCCCAAACCAGGGGCGCGCCAGCCCACCCACCTCAAGTCCCTTTCTGAAGACCTGCGTGCCCACCGTTGGTGGCCCTGGACCTCAGCCACGTGCTTCTCTGGAGATGCTTGCCAGCCTGCTCGCCTGTACCAAGGAGACCTGTACCACCCAGGAGGAGAAAGCGGGGCTCAGGGTTGCAGGTGTCCAGACAACGTCTGGCCACACGCTCCTTCACCTTCCCTAGCTGGGCCTTTCCCATTCCTGGCTGCCTCCCCTTCTGCTCCGCAGACCCCACCTGGGCCCCAACATCCCTAACCAGCACCATTGGTCCACAGACACACCCTGTGCCCCCACCCCACGCTCCTGTCCTCTGCCAACCAGTAGGAACCCAGGTTCTAGGGAGCAGGAAAGCTTAGGTGTCAAGGAGAGGCCCCAACTGACAGCTCTACCTGGCAAGGGGATCCCCCCCTCCAAACCATACTTGGCAACCCTCAGCAGGGAGCTCAAGGCCCACCACAGCCTCCCTGGCACACCAGTCTATGTCAGGTGGGGCTGTTGGCAGTGGAGAATACCTGTGGGCACAGCTGTAACTTGTCTGCCTCAGGTGTGAGTCATTCCTTCCAAATTCCCTCTGCAAGGAGCGCCTCAACACCCCTCTGGCCACGGGCTTCCTCCCATCCTCCCATCGTCACTCCCAGCCCATGCGCCCTTCTGCCTGTGTCAACCATCTCACTTTCCTGCTGACTGGTTCTGTGCTTTTCCTGATGCTCCTGTTCTACTTCTAGAAGGCCTTGGGAGTGTAGAGCTGTAGTTAGGGTGCCCGCTGCTTTGGGGTCACACAGACCTAGTCTCAAATGCCTGGTCAGTCTCAAATGACTGGTCTACCTTGTTTGGGATAGCTTGAGGCAGTTTTCCTCAGCTCCTGGGGGCCTGAGTTTCCCCACTGCCTGGGAATAAGGCATCGCTGTCCTCCAGTTTCGCAGATTGTCTTTCCATACAAAGCTGCCTGTGCCCAAGTTCTTGGGAGGGCAGAGTGGGTTTTTTGGCTTCACTGCTTCACTTTCTGGGGCCTCGCAGTGTCTGGTTCATGGTAGGCATTCAATGAACATTGATTAGTACTGTTTGAATGATTGGATTGATTTCCCTCCCTCTCTACCCACCCCCTCCAATTTGTGGTGGGGACGAATTGCGCCCGACTTCACCTTGGTCAGTCTCTAGGGACATCTGCAGGTGGTTCACCCGCGGGACCTTGCTCTGTGGGGTTTGTATTCACAGAACTGATAATGAGAATCCTCTGGTGCGCCCCCCTGGTGGTGCAGAGGCTGAAGTCTCAGCACTATGAAGCTATCAGCAGCCACTGCAGCATGAGTTCAGTTCTGATTCCAGGCCAGGAAGCTGACCCACATGGCGCAGCAGGCATCTTCTGTCTCCCTTTTTCTCCCCATCAGCGGTGTATTTCAGTGGATCTGCCTGTTCTGCTCCCCACTCTGACTCTGGTGAATCCCTTTACCCCCCCCACCTCTGGCCTGTACCCCAGTTCTTGTATGCATAAATAATCTTTTTTGGGGGCCCTCCCTGGTGGTGCAGCGGGTTAAGCACGGCACTAAGAAGCTAAAGCCACTTCAGCGTGAGTTCGATCCCTGCCCGGAGGTGACCCAGGCATGGCAGACCTCTCCTGACCCCCCCACTTCTCCCCTCAGCAGTGTACTCCATCACTCTGCCTGTTCTGCTCCCCACTCTGTCTCTGGTGAATCCTCTCACCACCCCTGCACCTTCTGGTCTGTACCCCAGTTCTGTATGCATAAATAAATCTTTAAAAAAAAAATTTTTTTTTTAAAACAACACTCTGCTGACCCCAAGACACGTCCTGTGGAGAAGGAAGTACTGGCCTGGTTTAAGCTATGCTGTGACCCTGGGCAAGTCAAAATCACTCCTCTCACCTGTCTGGTATGCCTCAAACGTCATACCCTGTGGCCTCAGGTCCTTTCTGGCTCTCAAGTCCTCAGGGCCCCTCTCCCCTTAGACCTCCCTAATGCTGGGTCAGGCACAGAAGTGACCATCTTACAGGCAGAGATTTCATGGCAGGCAGCCCAGGGCGTAGGGCTGGTTTGCCGCAGAGGTTTCAGGGCCTCATCAGAGAGGGCGTGGATTGAGTTTCTGCCTGGACAGGAAGTCTCAACCCTGATATCATTTATGAGGGCATCAGGGGACGGGACAGGACGGGACAGGGATCAGAGATAGGTCAGTGGACTCCTGAAGAATGTTCGAGGATGGGTTCAACCTGCCAGCTTACCAACAGACCGTGATGAGGACTGGGGTTAAAAGAGCGGATGAAGGGGTGCATGAAGGTCTTGTTCCTCAAGCTGCTACTTAAGCACCTCTGGGCCCCAGGTCACACCCAGACTCATGGAACCTGCTGGCCAGGTCACAGCCCTGTCATTCACAGACCCGCCCACTAGTCCTGACAGAACTAGGCACTGCCATTCCTTCGCACACACATGGGGTGAGGGCACCTTCAGTGACAAGCTTAGCAGACAGAAATGGCAGGATGAATACTCAGAGGCCCAGCCCGAGACACCCACAGCAACCCCTGACCCCACACATAACCTCTTTCTCTGGGGACTCTGCACACAGACAGCCGGGGCACTTGGTGGACTCTGTGCAGAGTAGCAGCAACCATCGACAGGACCAGCATTTTATAGCATTATGAGCTAGAAAAATATTCTGTGCCTCAGTCTCTCCTCCTGTAAAACAGAATCATATCCTCCCACTGGGACACTTAACATTAAAGAAATTATTGCGGCTGGGCCCCCTCAGGTTCCCAGCAGCTGCCACAGAACAGAACGGCCAGTCCCAGACTGCGCTGCTGCCACGCCACAGCAGGGCTCTGAAACCCAGGGCAGGAAGTCACTGGCTAGCTGTGCCCACCAATCCCAGCGCCCACAACTGCCTGCTCAAAGACCTGGGCCCAAACAAGTAAACAAAGGCCAGAGAGCTTTGGTGTAGAAATGGAGTCCACAGAAGGAAAGCATTAGGAGCAGGGCGGCCAGAAATGCCATCTAGCCCAGCAACCCCACTGCGGCTCCAGAGTCAAAACAGTCTGCAAGCAGCCACGTGCAGCTCCTGTCTCTGGTTTCTCCCCACAATCAGCCTTGGTCCTTGGGACTAGCTGTTCTCGTAACACTGCTGGTCAGACAGCTGTCCAATCCCGGGGACTGCCCAATTGTGCCTGAGACCCGAGATCTTCAGAGATAATAACAGTGCTTTTCCAGCCTCCCCTTACACACACACACACACACATTCAGGAGGAGGCCTCTCCCACCCCAAAGGAAAAGAACTGCAAGGCAGGTCCCTGGTATCCAGATTTATTTTACATTCTCTTCCCAAGAAGACTTGGGGGCTGGGGAGAGCTGGGGAGGAGAGTGGTACATGTCAGTCTCTCCTGAAGACATGTGGAAGAGGACAGTCCTCAGACCTACCCTTCCCAGGCACAGCAGCAGGACAGCTGCAGGGCCCAGGCTCAGGGCTCGGCAGTCTCTGGGAAGAGGAGGCCTCTGCACAGACCTCTTGCCAGGCCTTGAATGCTAAGAAGGTGTTGTGTCCATCCCCCACGACACTCCCAGTCTCAGCTGGAAGAGGCAGGCAAAGAGGGGGGCAAGCTGGAAAGGGGAGGAACCCCCTCCAGGCAGAAGCGGCCTTTGGTCTGTTAGGTTAGGAAGCTGGTCCTTGTTAGAGGAACCCCATGGGGGTGAAGCTGGGAGCTGGTCCCTGTTAGAGGAAACGCCATTTGCAGAGTGGGGGTGGGGAACTCGGGGGGTCTGGTCTCAATAAGGCTGGAAACCATCTCCACTTCAAAGCAGACCTCTGTATTTGGGGAGTGGGGTAGAGGAGGAAATAAAAGGACTGTCAGAGGAATGCTTGAGTTGTGGGTGGGAATCAGTCCAGGGGGCTCCGAGGGGCTCCAAGGGAAAGGCTATTGGAGTTGTCTGCAGATGCCAACATCAGGTCCTGGGGAAGGAGGATGTGGGAGGGAGGGCCTCTCTCCTTCCCATAAGTGCTACTGCTTCTCACCCCAACCTGGCTGGGCGCTGAGTTGCCACGGAGACCACTCACACCGGGGCTACATAATTTCCAGGGAATGTCCCAAATTTCTGGGTTCTCCGGGAGACACCTGAAGGAGGAAAGACAGGAAGAGAAAGGCACTTCGTTTGTAACAGGTCTAGAGGGGAGGGGGCGGTGCCTCCCCCTGCTGGCCGTACTCAGAACTGCAGGTGAAGGCCCGCCCCAGTGAGGGTTTGCTTTCCGCATTCCTGCCCCCTAGCGGCAGAAACTCAGATGGACAAAGTGATACTTCTAAACGCAGTGGCAACCTGAGGACCTGAGCAGTTGATTGTCCACAACTTGGCACGCAGCACGGGATGACCTCACCCTTCCTTGGGAAGGCAGGGGCTTGGGAGGATGAATCACAGAACTTACATCGGGAGGAATCTCATTGGCTTGTGTATGTCACCTCAGCAGTGCATTTCAATACATCTGTCTGTTCTCCCCACTCTGTCTCTGTGAATCCTCTCCCCCCTACCTCTGGCAAGTACCCAGTTTTTGTATGCATAAATAAATAAATCTTTAAACAAACGAACAAACAAAAAAAGAAATTTGTATCTTGGGAGTAAGGGAGAATGTTAGAAAATAGAAGACTAGGGCCCTCCCTGGGGGCACAATGGGTTAAAGCCCAGCACTAAGAAGCTATCGCAGCCACTAAATCCTGACTTCAATTCCTGGCCAGGGAGGTGACCCACATGGCACGGTGGATCTCTCCTCCTCTCCCGCTGCTCCCCTCAGCAGTGTATTTCAGTCATTCTGCCTGTTCTGCTCCCCACTGTCTCCGGTGGATTCTCTCACCACCCCTGCACCTCTGGCCTGTACCCCAGTCCTTGTAAGCATAAATAAATAAATCTTAAAAAAAAAAAAAAAAAAGAAAATAGAGCACTGTAAAATGAGATTAAAGCCCTGAGCTTTCCTTCCTGCCAGTCCCGCACCCTGACTTCCCTGAGCACCCAAAGCCTTCCTGCCACCAGGCCTTGCTGACACTGTGCCCCTGCTGCAGTGCTCCCTTTTCCTCTCTGCCCCCCAAATCCCTCCCCTGTTCAACAAGGTCTGGTTGCCCCGCTTCCTCCAGGAAGCCTTCCCTGACTTTCACCACCGAAGTGACAACCACTCACCAAGGGGTTACTGGGCACTTGACATGAGCCAGTGTGACTGAGACACTGAACTGGTCCTGTCCTCAAAGCTACTGTGGCTGACACCACAAAAGTGGCGCTTGTCCTTCTAGTCTGTATACATTTGTAACATTTTATCAGTAGTAGTAAAAAATGAAATCAGGCCCTCCCTGGTGGCGCAGCGGGTTAAAGCACTGCACTGAGAAACTAAAGCCACTTCCGCATGAGTTCCATCCCTGCCTGCCCCGGAGGTGACCACATGGCGGTGACCACATGGCGAGGCAGACCTCTCCTGACCCGCCCACTGCTCCCCTCAGCAGTGTACTTCGTCGATCTGCCTGTTCTGCTCCCTACTCTGTCTGGTGAATCCTCTCACCCTCCACATCTCTGGCCTGTACCCCAGTTCTGTACGAATAAATAAATAAATCTTTAAAAAAAAAATGAAATCAAAATATGTACAGAACAAAACTGGAATGCACCCCCAAACCTGCCCTTCTGAGGCAAGTGCCTTTAACAAGTCAGCACTTGTGTGTACAAAGTCACTGGTGTGTACAGCTTGGTCAGCAGCAAGGCCCTGGGGTTCAGAAGGGAAGGGGCAGCTGCCAGGTCAAAGAACCACCCCTGTGGCCACCCTTGCCCAGGCTGCCCCCAGTGAACACTTTAAGTGCTGTAGCCTGAGCAGGGGCGAGGGAGGGGCTTCTGGCTGCTTGGCCGTGGAGGGCAGGCCCATGCTCCGTAGCTGCGGGCTGCGCAGGCTCTGGGGAAACAGGCCCAGGCCAACCTGAGGCTTCCTGCACTGGCCCTTTGCCTGAAGCCCTGGGATAGCCCTGAGGGCTGTGGGAGAGCCCAGGTGAAGAGACCTGAATTTTTCCACCAGGAATTTAGCATCATGGAAGCAGGGCCCAATTGGTCTCCCTCCAACCCCCAACACTGCTCTAGAGGCTGAGTGCGTGTGGGAGAAAGCAGGAAGGGAGCCGTGAGGGTCAGGAGGGCCTGTCCTGGGTCTGCGCTGACTTCGTCAATGATCCCGGGCAGCCAGCTTCCTCCCAGCATGTCCCTCTGCAGGACAGACAACAGAAGCGCTGGACTGGGGGAAGCACCGGCGCCAGGCCAGGCCTTCTCAGTTGCCAGAAGCTGAGCCAGAGGCAGCAGCGGCCCATTCAGATCCCCCCCCGAGGGGGCCCTGAGGTGCCCCCTCTGGCCTGTGTCTTAAGCACAGCTGTTAGGCCCACATACCCACAAACCAGCCATCATCACACTGCTGCATGACATCCACGCGGTCCCCTTCCCGCAGCTCCAGCTCATCCTCATTCTGGGGCCTGTACTGGTACATCGCCCGGTACCTGCAGAGACAGCATCAGGTAACCCCCGGGGTCTCCGTGCCCCCACCAAGCAGGCAGAGTCACACCCAAGTGTTGCCCCTTCCTCTGAATTTCCCAGCCAGCGCTGGGCCCCTCTCCAGGAATGGTGACTCCACCTGGCCCAATGCACGCCCCATAGAGGGGCTCCCGGTCCTCGAGCCCCAACACCCAAACCTCATCTCCCAGGAGCCCAGGCCCTTTTGGTCTCTTCTACCAGCTCCCCCACTTCTTCCACATAGGCTCTGACCTCAGGACTGGAAACCCAGCAGAGGGCCAAGGAAGACTTGCTCTAAGGCCACAAGAGCTGCACAGGAGGCTCAGGACACCCCTGAGAAGTGCCTGCTCCCCGGCTCCCAGAACCCCCCATCATACATAAGCCGCAAGGACAAGCACTGTCTATTGGTAGCGGGGGAGGTGGGGGTGTTCTGGGGGCCTGCCGGGAGCCCACTGCTGCAGTACTCACGGGGTCCAGTGTATCGGAGTGGTGTTGGGGGAGGAGGGCCCCAAGTCCGCGGCACGGCTGGAGCCTCCAGGATGGGTCGGAGCTGAGGCAGGGGTGCCGAGACCCTGGAGACCCACAGAGGGAAAGACAGCACAGGCAGGCTTGAGGGACATGGGAAACAGGCTCCGGCGGGGCACAGGCAGATTTGCTGCCTGTCAGGTCAAGGGCTGGGAGTTGACACCCACTAGGGAGGGGGACTGATTTCTGAATGCCAGCAGGGACAACGTTGTCCAGCGAAGGGACAGGAGTCAGCGTGGCTTCACCTGGCTGTCCGGGTTTGCTGGTGAGCAAGGTGCACAGGAGCCTTGCACAGGGCTCCAAGGACTGTCTGCCACCCACCCACCTGCGCTGCCTACAGGGGAGAAAACCCACACCCAGAGGGGCACGTTTGCCCCAAAGTGCAGTGTGGATGGTCAGGAGCCCAGGGCTGACTCTTGGGTCCCACCCAGAGCTGGCTGGCTGCCCCGGGCTCTGGTAGTGCTCAAGGCCCAGACCACCGGGGGTGTCTGCAGCCCCCAAGGCCAGGGTTGGGCTCCAATGCACGCACCACCCGCCACCCGGAGCCCCCACAAGTCTACTCTGAGCAGTCTGGGAAGAATTTCAAAGTGCAGCCTGTCACAGGAATGGGGTGAGGGGCGTCCCAGCAGGGGTGAGTGCTCCAGTCAGAGCAGGTCACCTTACCTGAGCCTGGAGTCTCAGCTCCTGAGTTGGGGAGGAGAAGCCAGGGCGGCGGGGGGAGGTCTGGCCCCCCCAATCGGTGTTGTCAGCTGTGCTTCGTAATGTGGAGGGGGAGCTGGGGTGGCCAGCCACGGGGGCGGCAGTCAGACGGGGAGATGCAGGGAGCTGGGGGCCTTCGTCGCAGACCCGGAGCCGGGGCTCCCGGGTCACCTGCACATAGCTGGCAGGGAAGATGCCCTGGCGCCCCGTGCCTGAGATGCGCCCCTCGTACCAGTTCTCATTCACCTTGCGGATCAGGCAGATGCGTTCACCCTGCATGGGGAGAAAGGAGCTTGTGTCTGCAGGGCCCTCCTGGGCTTGCACACCTGACCCGACATGTGGGCGGCCTCACCGAGACCCAACACCTTGCTCAGAGGGGGTCAGCCAGGAAGAGGTGGAGGCAGGAGGCAGGCTGCTGTGGGTGGCGGATGGCTGTCTGCACTCTGCCCACTGAGCAACGCCAGGTAACCAAGGCCTGCCTCTTTGGGAAGCCTAGGGGGCGTGTTGCCTTGTCCAGTTCACAGCATTATGTCCCCCCAGAGCTCCTAAGAAGCCCTGTACAAGCACCAGCTGCCACGGCCTCAGTCCTTATTCCTACCTCCACCCTAGGGATCCTGTCCCCACTGCAACAAAAAACTCCCTGAGGGCAGCTGCAGCAGCCTCAAGTTCAGAGCTGACTGATGCCCAGGGGGCAGCCCTGGGAGGTGGTCTCCAGCCCTTTCCTGCCCTCCACTCTCTATTCACCCACCTCCTCCCGCTCTCCCCCTGGGGCCAGTTCTTCTGGGGGGCATTCACTGGAAGCATTCATGGCCTCTGTCCCAAAATCAAACAAAGGGAGGCTGTTTCCTGCTTTCCAAGACATTTTCCAAACTTCCTTGACCATGATCCACAGTAAAAACTGTTTTTAATACTTTAAGTACTTAATACAAAACACTCTACCCAGTTAGTTGAGTGGCCTGCCTGCCCTGAGAATAAGAAACACGAAAGGAACTGAACTCTTTAAATCCAAGGGCTCGGGCCAGTCAAGCCATGGCCCGTCTCCGACCGCGGTCCTACAGATAACGGAACTGTCTAAAAATTCACCCCATAACCCGACACTGCTTCGGCCATCATGGTATTAAAACAAGGGATTTCCCAGGTGCCTCCATGGCGGCACAAGGGGTTAAATCTCAGCACTGTGAAGCTATCGACTGCATGAGTTTGATGGGGGGGGGGCAGGGAGGCGGCCAGGGAGCTGACCCACATGGTGAGGCAGACCTCTCCTGTCTCGCCCGCTGCTCCCCTCAGCAGTGAATTTCGGTCAATCAGCCTGTTCTACTCCCCACTCTGTCTCTGGTGAATCCTCTCACCCCACCCCACAACATCTGGCCTACACCCCAGCTCTTTTATGCATAAATACATAGAATTAATCTTAAAAAAAAAAAGGGGGGGGGAGAGAGACTAGTACCTACAATAAGAAATGTAAATCACCAGTGAGTGAGGTTATTTTAGGTGAAATGCCCCCAAGTTTGATAATACCCTTCCTCTAGGCAAGGCACGCCAACATTTCTTTTTTTTGTCCCCAAAAAAATGCCGACTGTGATCCTCACAACCTACCCCAACCTACAGAAAAAAAGCACAAGCACTTGGGACATTTATAACCTTTCAAACCTTTCATGATAACCTTTCCCCACACTGAGAGAACATAGGCAGAGAGATTACTGGGAAGAGCTGCACTAAGGGGTAACAGGGGTACACGGAAAACATTCCCGCCTGCCTCCCCCTTGCCCGCCCGCCTCCCCCCTGCCCGCCTGGAGGCCAGGGCGGCCGGGCGCACCTTGCGGAAGGACAGCTCTACCTCCAGGTCCCCCTTGAAGTTGTACTGGGCCACGGCTTCCCCATACTCCAGCACCTGGTAGGTGGGGGGCTTGATGGGCTTGGGGATTTCATCTGCAGGCAGCACCTGAGGAAAGAAAAGCCATGAAGAACAATCCGCCCGGGACCAGCAGGGCACAAAACCGGAGCTCCCAGGCCAGGCCCCACGGCATGAGGAGGCTGACTTGGCCCCTGTCCTCTGGCTCACAGTTTCATACCTTCGGAAACCAGTGAGATGTGAGCAGGAGAGCGACTCACGTCAAAGGGGTGTGCACCTTAAGTCTCTGCCAGCGCACCTGCCTTCCTGCGGGCTCCTGCGGGCTCTGCCCCACTCCACTCACCTCCACGTAATTGGCAGGGAAGATGCCCAGGCGACCATGGTGCTCTCCCTCCAGCCAGTTCTTGTCCACCTCCTTGTGGATGTAGACAATGTCCCCCTTCTTCAGAGTCAGCTCCCTGCAGGCCAGCGCAAGGCATCCAACAAGCTGGGGGCCGCCTTCCTTCAGGCCACCTCCAGCACACTCAGAGTCCCCACCAAGGTACCCCCCCCCAGTCCTCCCTCCCTCCCTCCCTCCCAGGGTGCAGAGACTGCAAGGCACTCACTTGGGGGACTGTGCCTGGAAGTCAAACTTGAGCCTGGCAGCCCTCCTCTGGGTATAAGGAGAGGACAGAGTGGTTACCTCGGCAGGGCAGGTGGGGGGGTCAGAAGAGCCCACCCCTATCCCACCCACTCCAGACATCCTTGCGCCCACATCCCAGTGCTTCCGCCCCTCTCACCTTCTTCTCTTCCTTCCTGGCAGGGCTGCCCCCTCCCGGAGAGGCACTAGGGTCTGTGGAGAAGGGGGAAGGCCACCTCTGGGTGCAGGGTCCGAGGGGTGACGCCCTCCCCCCACCAGGGCCAGGGTGGGACTCTCGGACCTTCCTGCCTCCCAAGGCACCAGCACAGCCCCCTAGGCTGCCATCCCGATGAGAAAGGCTGCAGGAACCGGTCCTTACCTCGGGTTGAGGGAGGGTAGACAAAGTCCCTACGACCTAGGAAGGGGCTTCCTGCATCCGCCATTCTGTGGGGGCTCAGGGAGCGGGAGGAACCCAGGTAAAGTGCATTCGGGGAGCTGGAGCTCCAGGCTGAGGCCGGGCTGCGTGGGGACACAGACGGTGAACTTCACACCCTCCCGGCTGGCCCACGACCTCCCCGGCCGCGGCTCGCAGCTCCCGCTGCCTCCGCCCCAGGCGTGGCCCAGATCCTGGGCTCGCAACAGGATGTCCAACTCCCCGGCGGCCGCGTCGGGAGAGGGCGCGGCGGGGGCCGGAG